ATACCTATAAATAATGAATCCCTTACATTGTTGTTCAATCATTTCAGTCATGTGTGACTCTATGTGACCCTTTGTGTGGTTTTCATGGCAAAGATACTGGATTTTACAGATGAGGAAATTGAGGCAAACATTTAAGTGACTTGTCCAAGGTCACAGAGTTAGTATGTGTCTGAGGCCAGATTTGAACTTAGGAAAATGAGCCTTCTGGCACTCTATCCACTGTATCACCTAGTTGACCACTACTGAGGTACATATATGCTTATGGAGGCAGATGAAAATGATTTAATTCTCAACCCTGGGAATGGGTACTAGCAAAGAGTTGTATGAGTAAAACTCTGAAAAGGAGAGTGTATTTTCACTGTTTGTTTTTACAAAGTCTGTCGATAATTGTTTTAAAATTTGGTCCATTTGTGCTGTTTTGAGTCCCTCTCCTTCCAGGTTGCATAACAAGTATTTGCCAGGTGTATAATACACCTTTTTTGTAATTCCACGTTTGTTCACTCAGCCCTTCTCCTGAGGGTGCCATTCATTTCACAATTGCACAAATAGACAGGATGTGCTTAGTTGGCATCAGCAAAATGTGACCACAGTTTATGCTTATTTAACTGATTAATTTTTTTACTTTGGATTCTGAATTAAACTGTGAAAGCTTCATCTATTTTGGTTGGGAGGCCATCTGTGTGTGTTTTTAAAAAATTCTCAAGTGTTGATTTGGCTTCTTGGAGCTTATCAGGTGATACTTTGTGATCATTGCCATGGATTTGTCTCCTTTGCAACCCCCACAATAAGCTGGCATGTGTGTGTGTGTGTGTGTGTGTGTGTGTGTGTGTGTGTGTAATTGTTTAGTTATCAGGACTTAACTTGAAGGATGTTGGGATATGAAAATCTAGAACACTATTAGGAGACCATTGAGTGGGTACCATTTAACTTCCTTTCACAATTATCCTGTGATAAGTAGAAAGGAAGACTCAGCAGCCTAGGTACCTTGCCAATTTAACCTAGAAGGTCAGCAACAGAGATAGGAGCATCTTACATTTGATTGGTGCTTTGTAGTTGACAATCAACTTTCATACATCTTATTCTCTTTAGGATAACTCTGTAAGGTGGAATTACAGGCAATGTCTCCATTTTACAAAGAAGGAAATTAAGGCTCTAAGAAATTAAATGTCTTGAGCAAGGTCAAATAGCTAGGGGAGTTAAGGTTTAGCAGAATGATTTCTGGATTCAGAGTGAGGATACTTATGTTTGAATTCTTACTCTAATATTTAATGACTATATTGCATGGAAAAACTTATTCCCTGAGCCTCCCAGTTTTTGGTTCAACGAATATGGTTGTCATATACACATACCTATTTGAGAAACCTAGGGAATCTAAGAATTATTATCCCCATTTTACATATAAGGAAATTGAGGCTTTGAGAAGTTTTCATTTATCCCAGTTCACATGGCTAGGAACCTCTCCACTCAAATGTGTCTGTTTCTGTTGAGTGTATCTACATCCTTCTGGTTACCCAGATTAACAACCCTAGATTCATCCTTAACTCACCTTTTTCCCTTACCCACCATACCCAATTGATTTACAAGCCCGATTCCGTTTCCACACATCTGAATCTTCTCCCTCTCTTCATTCATGTGGCCAATATAATCAACCTTACTTTAGGGCCTTATAACCTCTCCCTGGACTATTATAATAGCCTCCTTACTTATCCCTGACTCCTCCAATCCATCTTCCACAGAACTGTTTAATTTTTCAATGTAGATAGGACCATGTCATGAACTTGTTTAAGAAGCTTCAATGGCTCTCCATTGCACTGATAATAAAATATAAATTATTCAGCTTGGAATTTAAAGGACTCCAGCCTACCTTTCCAGGCTGTCTTCCCATCACTGCCCTTTCCACAGCCTATGTTCTCAGCCAAATTGGCCTACTTGAGATTTCCTGAGCTTGACTTTAACTCATCTTTTGGCTCCATTCATTTACACAAACTATCTCCCATGCCTGGAATATACTCCTTCTTCACCTCCATGGCTCAGGACCCTTAGTTTCCTTTAAAGATCAGAAATCCTCTCTGACTTCTGCCACTTGATAATACTATCTTCTTCTCCAGATTATCTGGTGTTTACTCATCTGTTTATGTGCTGTACCCACAGTAGACTATAATTTCTTGAGGGCAGAGATTGACATATGAACTTGGGAAAGCCTCTTGACCTACCTGGGCCTCAGTTTCCTCATCTGTAAAATGAAAGGGTTGGATCTGTGTTCCCTTGTAGCTCTTTGACCCCATGTTGTTGTCTTTTCATCTTCAGCATCTTTGGCAGTTTCCTACACACAGCTGGCACTAAATAAATGCTGGTTGAAATGGATTCAAGTGTCAGTTTGGTCTGAAATCCAGGGCCCTGATTCCAAGTGCAGTGATCTTTCTAAATGCTTATTGGATTGAACTGAACTAAACTTCACAATCCACCATGTTGCCCCTGTGCCAGTGTGAATATCAGATTGATGCTGTGTACATGTCAGGAAGAAATCCTTTTACTATTCTTGTTAGCAGCTGGATACTGTCCATTTTATATCTTTGAGTTTAAAAAGATGAGTGGATATCCTGGAATGAGAGGTTTAGGCTAGAGATATAGGGCAAATTCTTAACTCTTTCTTTAAAGGACTACCAGGGAATTTCTTTCTCTGAAGAGTTTAACAAAACAAATGCTTAGAAAACCATTTGTCCTCCATAATTTAAGTATCACTGGATTTCAGACAGAGGGTTGGATCAGATGATCTCTGGAGGATTCCCAAGATCAAATTCAATGACTCAGCCATTGATTAGGGGAAGAGACATACGGTTGTATGTCTACAGACCTGCAGCTTAGAGGTCAGCTACATTGTCCTTATAATAGATTTCAACCAGAAAATTTTTGTCATGTGTTGAATTTTCTAAAGTCCCTGATCTTGGGAAAGCTTGACTTTAACTCCTAGTTAGCAAACCCCATCACAGCTCTCACTTGCTCTCCTTCCATGATCTGGAATCTTTGATTGGAGCTGGTGTTAGGATACAAAGGCTCAATGCCTTACAGCAGGGACACTTTCTAGTGCTGGAGAAGAAAAATCCCCCTGGGGAAGGCTTTCTGGAAGTAGAAATGCAAATATCTATTATGATCAGAAAAGAGAATTTCAGGAAATTGTAGCAATTTCTGTGAGATGTTCTGCACAATTTCCCAGATTCATCCTTGGGACATATGGCAGCCCACTACTGGGAAAACACATTAAAGGAGAGGAAGCCAATGACACACTTCAGTAAGGAAGATGAAAAACCATAGTAATGGGGACTTTGAATCCTTCTGATTGGTTCCTCAGTGGTGTCCTTTTGATTCTGACTTTGGCTCTTTTCCTTATTTTCATTCTCTGCTGCCTCTAGATCCTGATGCTGGACTACCAAGGGTTTGTGTGCAGGTGGTAGTCTGGCTTTCCCTCTGGGGAAATAGAGATTTCATGGTAAGATGTGCTCTAAAAATCAATATTCCACCAGAGGGAGCCGACTAGTATGCTTGTGTCCTTGACTGAGAAGAAAAGTCTTTTATTCCCAACGTGATCCCAATATAGAAAGAAAAGAAAACATTCCAAAAAAAAACCCACCTTCATTTTTTTCTTCTTCTTTCCATTTTTGGATTATTTTTTTCACTTGTATGAGATGAATGCTCTTAGAATATATGTCTGTTGCCTTATTCTTGTGAGGCATTTATTTATTTAATTTTATTCTTCTGTTCTTTTTCACTCTCTCTCTCTCCCCCAACCCCAGTAGGTCTAGAAAACTGTTGGTTAAACCAGACTCAGTTCTTTACAACTGTCTATTTTCCTTTAAGGGAACAGATATGGCACCCTTTCTTTGGCCATCATAACAAGGACTTGGAGCCATGGTGACATAAGTGAATGTGACATCTATAGATTCACCTATCTAGAAAGTAGCCCAAAATGATGAAGTCAGAAGAAAGGACTCCAAGTAGCCCAAAATAGAGAGTATATTCATTATCTTTATAGAGGAGGCCTTCACAACCTCTCTCAGCCCTTATTTACTCCTATTTGACACCCAGTTCTGAGAAGCTTAATCATTTAGTTTTCTAGTCCACAGTTGATGAAAAAGGGAGATTCTAGAGGGAGATAAGAATTATCAACTGATGGCCTGACATTGAGGAAGGAGAGAGAACAGTCTATAAATAGCAGATCCAAGAACCCATGAACATAGAGGTTGCTTGTCAGCATATGGGGCTAATGGCCTTGTTCACCCTTAAAACCCTTTAGAATATACTGCATCATAGTGAATGCTTATAATTATTAGTTGAAGTCATCAAGAAATAGTTGAAATTTTTCTTAGGAGCTACTGGATTTTAGAACTAATTCTGGAAAAAAAATGTATGGGATAAAATAATCTATATTTAAAGGGAAAAGCTTCTGTTTTTATTTGAGAAAACTCAGGTGTGTGGAATAGCCATGGCACTGGATAAATGAGTTTAGTTGAGTTTAGAGTCATCTGGATTCATCTGGAGTCTTGGTATCCTTTATTGATGTTTATTTGCTTATGTGGTCCACAGAAATGAGGAGGTCACTGAGTTCAACTCCAATTTTCACAGAGGATTCTGAGGTGCTAGAGCAAGACTAAATGTCCCCTCCCCTTACAGAGGTCGCCTTAAGCAGTTGGAAGTGATTCTCTAATTCCATCATCTCTAGTCTCTGCCAGTGATCTTCCTTCCCAAGATTATTAGTTAAGAACCATTTTAGTCAGCCGATTATATGTAGTGTTTATCTGTTTATCTATCTATCATCTTTAACTTGTTTCTCTATCATTTGTCATCTATTTTCTATCACTTGTCATCTATTTTTCTATGGTCTGTCATTTATTATCTATTATTTATCATTTATTATCATTTATTGTCTATTTTCTATTATCTATCAATTATTCTATCTATTATTTATCTACCCATCAATCATCTATTTTTCTATCAACTATTATTAAAATATGGAATTTTCTGTCCTTTTGCACGTCGTTCATGGGAAGGGGTAATGCTATTCCTCTTTCTATCATTCCAATTTGAATATATGTGCTGCTAAGCACATATAGCTTTTAGAAAGAGATATTTCTTTAACTTTTAGAAAGGAGTATTTCCTAAGACATTACCATAAGAGCAGTTGCTGTCAACAGACCCCTAAACACCTGTGACATACTTTCCCACAAGTACAAAGAGAGTCTTGGGGAAAATGGGCTCAAGGTTAAAGAGCACATGTAGCAAAGAGGTAACTCATAGCCCCTACTTGCTGGAAGTCCTTTTCTACAATTTGTGGGGTGCTTGAGAAGTTTCCCTTAGGCTGGGCTTTTTAGAGAGCCATGAGTCCATATCCAGTATGTTCTTGGCTCCCAATTCAGACACTGCCATCTACTTATCTGGGACATTGCAAAGACGTTGGTGGAAAGATGGGAAGTCCAAAATCTTCTGGACCCTTTAAAGCTTTCATGGTCCTTTTTTGGCCAAAGGAGGGTGGGGAAAGAAAGCTGGTCAAGGCTAACCTTTCCTTTTTCCCTAGGCAGTTTCTCCTCAGGGTTTTACTGGAAAGCTAGGCTTGCTCCAATGTTTCAGATGACTCCATTTCTAAACTAGCTTCATAATTTATCGAAAAACCCTGGATCATGACCAAGTTTCCTGGGACTCTCTGAGGTACTTCTAGTGCAATGTCATTTCCAGTTCCAAGTACTTTTAGCACTTGATCTAAAGCCCATGACTGAGATTGATTGAAACGGCTTCCCACTTACTCTAAGTGGGGTGGGGTGGGGTGGGGTGGCTAGATTGAGTGTATCTATCAACTCCACTCTTACATTTAAAACCCTTGTGAAATAGATGCCTTTCTCTTTCTTGGAGGAAGAACTAAATTCAATTCAGTAGGCTTTAATTAAGTGCCTATTGTGTGCTTGGCATTGTACTAGATTCTGGTGCTATAAAAACAAGATGTAAACAGTTTCTATCCTTAATGCCTTCCATTGGTAAGAAGCCAAGAGATAAAATGGCACATCTAAAGTTCAACTCTAAAGTATAGTATTCAAACGCCAATGTCAATATTGTCTCTTCTGATAATGCACTCTTTGGTCACCAGAAAAGTAATTGATTGATCAGAGTAACCTTTCCTGAATGTACACTTGGGGAAGAAAGACCTGGGTAGGGAAAAACCCCCAAAACCCAAAGGAGAGAGGCCCATAGAGGAAGTAGGTGATGGAAGGGAAACCTGTGTGTCATATACATAGGATCATGGGATTTCTGTCTGAAAGGGACCTTAGAGATCGCCTAGTCTAAGCCCTTTATTTTGTGGTGAATCAATCAGCCAACAAACATTTATTAAGGCCTACTATGTGCCAGGCACTGTGCTAAGTGCTGATTAGATTAGTTAACTTTCATGTAGCACTTTCAGGCGGCACTTTCTGTATCTCACTGGATCTTCACAACAACTGTGGGAGGCAGGTGCTATTACTATCTCCATTTCACAGATATTGAAACTAAGACTGAAAGAAAGGTCATTCAGTAAGTGTCTGAGGTAGAATTCAAACTCAGGTCTTCCTGATTCTCAGTCCAGCAATCTCAGCCACTTTGCCACCTAGCTGCCTCCATTGAAACACCTGTTTAATGTTCATTTAAACACATAGAGGCATACAAATATAATCCCCCTTAAACTGGTGTCTGGGATTTTTGTTTTTGTTTTTTTAATATTTTGATAACTGTTTAAAATATTATTGGTTTTCTTTGTAATCCTATGTTTTTATTTTACGTAATTAAAATATTATTCTGAGGAGTCCACAGATTTCACTAGATAGTCAAAGTGGTCCATGACACAAAATTATTAAACACCTTTCTCCAGAGAATAAAATATTTCCCCTTTTTTAGAAATAGGAGAAAAAAGAGTGGCTACAGAGAGATAAGTGCACTAATATATTGTTGGTGGAGCTATAAATTGGTCCCACTATTCTGGAAAGCAATTTGGAAATATTCCCTAAAAATTGTGTATATCCTTTGACCTAGTGATACTATTACTAGTCCTATATCAGAAAGAGATCAAAGAAATGACTCGTTTGTACAAAAATATTTATAGCAGCTCTTTTCATAATAGCAAAAAATCTCTGGAAACTAAATGTTGGGGGTGCCCATCTATTGAAGAATGGCTAGTTTTGTCATTTTGAAATAAACATCTAATTTGCTTTTATTATGGAGTTAACTTAAAGAATGATGAAATAGACAGTTTCAGAGAAAACTGGAACTTATATGAACTGATGTAGAGTAAAGTGAGTAGAACCAGGAAAAAAGTTATACAATAACAATAACATTATAAAGAAAAAACAACTTTGAATGATTTTAGAATTCTGATCAGTGCAATGGCAAAACACAATTCCACAGGATCAATGATGCCAAACTCCTGACAAAGAGGTAATGAACTCAAAATTCGGAAGGAAATATGCATTTTTGGGCATAGCTTTACTTGACTGTGAATATTTATTGTGAGGGTTTTTCCCCCTTTTCTTTTTTTAATTTGGAGGGATAGAGTAAGTGCTTATTAAAAAGAAATAGAAGAAATAGGAAAAATAAAATGACAACTTCAAACTGCTTAGGGATTCCAATGATGCTTATGGGACAAACAAGATTTTCTTCTAACTTTATTCTTTTTCTAGTCTTGAGTGATGAGACTATAGCTTGAGTTAGAATAACACACAGGAACTTTATGGAAAGTTGGAACTGGAAAGGGCATTGAAGAGAATCTATTTTAACTGTTTCATTTTCTAGACGAGAAACCCAAGGGGAAGTCACGTGTCTGTCATCACAGACCTCTTACCTAGCAGCCTTAGTCCTGTAAACTACTGCTCCTGACTCCATCACATGAATATGTGTCCCAGGGTGCTGTAATGGAAAGAGTATTTGACTTGGTATCAACAAAAACTTGGGTGTGGGTTCAATCTCTTAGTACCTGGAAAATGGGGACAAAAATATAGTATCTACAGGAAAAATGTGTGGTGTTATTATTTTTTGTTTCAATATTCATTTTTAAATTTTGAATTCCAAATTCTTTTCCTTCCCCTAACCCCTCCCAAACTCATTGAGAAGGTCAGCAATATGATACCCATCATACATGTGAAGTCATGCAAAACATATTTCCATTTTATCCATGTTCTAGTGTTGTTATGAGGATCAAAGACTTTATAAATATAATTTCTCATTATTGTGGATAATAATCCCTCCAGTGCTGCAGAATACAACCCATTAGTGGTTCTTGGACTGTGTGACTTTTGTCTGAGACCTTTTAGAAATCTTCATAGGGGGTCTTCCCAATATGCTATGAACCTTCTTGATCTTGCGTATTTACAAAAAGGGCACATAGGATGTCTGTCCATCACTTATCTTTCTTTTTACCTCCTTTTTTGGTCATGCATTTTCTTTGATCAAACATTTTCTCAGTATTATTATGTGTCTGAACCTGTGATCTCATGAGTATAGGCAACTCCTAATGTCAAACCCCTTCCACCAATGCAGATTGCTAATGCCTCTGTAATTGATGGGATAGTGTTAGGAAACTGCCTAGGGCATTTGTGACTTGCCCATGGTCACACACTGTTGTGTCAGAGACAGCTCTTAAATATAGATCTTCCCAATTCCAAGATAGCCTCTATCCCATTTTGCATCTCTTATTATTAGCACCCCTACCCAGTCACAGCCTGACCTAGGGTAGCATAGAATTCAGTATGAGGTGGGTCTTGCCAAATGGAGTCCAGTATTATGAGGAATGAAATCCCTTTTGCATGATACAATCTCATTTATATTATCCTAGACTTGGTTCCCTTGAACAAGACATGGGCAGGCTTGGATTATAGAGCGCCTTTCTTATATTACACTAGGATCTTTTAACCTTTTTTGTGTTCCAAACTCTTTTGATGGCTTGGTAAAGCTTACAGACAACTTGTCAGAATAATATTTTTTAAAATACACAAAATAAAAGATGTAGGATTACAAAGGAAACCAAAAGTTAGTAAAAACAAAGATGTATTTTTCCCCATCCCAGGCCACAGAGCCCCTAAAATCTATCCATAGAAAGATTGGATCCCACCTTCAGAATTCCTGCATTACACACAAACCTGACACAGCCAATGAGCTCTGGAGAGGTTTTCAGGAATGGATTTTATTTTTTTTCTCTTACTCTGAACACATTTATTGAAAGAAAAAGATCTTCAACATCTGAATCCTTAGAGCATGTTTAGATGTCAGTTTATTCTCTCTTCTCTTTCTCATAACTAAGAAAAAGGAAATCGGCATTAAACATTGATGTGTTATGTGACTTGTTTCCAGAAATTATCATAAATATTTGACACTTTCTCATGTAGGCTGCCTCCTTCCATGTGGCAAGAATAGGAAAGAAAGGGATCTGGGGAGAACCTTATCATAAAATAATGAACCATAATACTTTGGTATTCATGTGCCAGCTGATAATAATATTTTGCTAACTATTCAAACATCTTCAGCTCGTTTGGCATATTTCTGTATTAATTCTTTCAACAACACTATAGCTCTGTGAGTGGGAAGGGGATATATTATGTAGCAATACTGAAACATGCATATGAGAGCTTGGAGCAGACTCGAGGACTGTCACCCTATCATTTTCAATGGCATCAGCTGCTCTGTGTGATAGCACACCTGAGCCCACATTATGCCCTTACAATTTCTGTCCTGTGACCTTCAAAAACTGCCTCTTCATGGCGCTTCACATTTAAAAGGACTTTGGGGAAAATATCTCCCTGCTTTCTGACAACAAAGGAAGCTGATGTGGTGTTCTTGTTTGTCAATAGCTATCTGAAGGGGAAAACCTCCCTTGCTAAGATTTCTGCTTCCCAGAGAGGGCTTCCTGCAGGTTTTCTTCAAGGGCACACCGGTATCGCCTCTCACTATGAAAGTACTTGGATAGTTGGGGTCCGGATTTAGATAAAAGATGACATTACTATGTTTCCTTTATGTTTATTTGGGAGTGTGAAGAGAATTTTCAGGTGGAGTTAGTGAATCAAATTCAGGAATTATTTGCTCAGCTCCTACAACA